CCCAGGCTCCCCAGGGAGCGGTCATGGCCCCAAGGCTGCCAGAGCTCCGGGCGCGTTTGGACAGCGCTCTCAGGGATGCACAGGATGGGATTGTGGGGTGTTTGTGCAGGGCCAGAGGCTGGACTCGATAATCCTTGTGGGTCCCTCCCAACTCAGGATATTCCATGATTCAGATCAAAGTACTTCTCTGAGATATAAATATTAAAAGTTTTAATTCTTGTTTAGTGCCAGGTGTAGAGAGCTAATATTCAAAATATAAGAATAAAAGATCAAAAAAGTTTTGGATTTCTTACAGATTGAGAAATACATCACAAGTTTCTAGAGAGAACGTCTTCCAAATTTTCAATCTCTGAGGTCTGAACTTCAATACTATAATAGTGGCAGTGACACCAATTAAAATATTTTCCTATTTACACTGCATTTTTTCATTTTCCAAGCCACAAAGTCAGTTTTCTCTGAACTGTTTGAAACTTTTTTTGATAGGATGTTAGTTCCTACCAAATATTTCTCCCAAAGCAATTAAAACTTATGCCATGCTACTTTACATAAATCTTTTACAATTACTTACCTGCTACAGGCTCTTTCCCACCTTCTGCCATTGCAACAGCAAAAAACTTGACAGATTAAATCTTTATTCATCTGCTTCCTTTCTAAGTTACCAAAACTATCCAGATCTAGAAGACCCAATTTTTATGAAGATATATGTCTTTCAGCAACCCATCTGCCTTTTTCATTTCACTAGGACCAACTTCCAGAAGCATGTATTTTCCCAGACATGCTGGCATTAGATAAGGCATTAGAAAAACTAGTATCACTTTGCAAGGATAAAAGAATCTGTTCTGATCATGAGAAATTTAGAAACAAAAAACCTCATATCAACTAAATATAAAGCAGCAATTTAGAAAAATGGTCTAAATAGCAAGAAAAAAAATCACCAGAACTGGGAATTTTTAAATAAACCAAAGAATCTACTTTAAGTTAGATTAGGCACTAGAAAATGATCTTGTTCTCCCCCACACTTAAATCTTAAGGAAAAAGCCCTAACTGATAGCCTTCTTGAGAGGTGGTGGTGGATAACTGTAGGTGGGGTGTGGTAGTCTGTTATTTTGCACTTTGTTCTTCTGTAGTATGTTTTAATATTCCTTGTTATAAATTTGTAATGGTTCATTCTATGTACCCCATTTGGCTTCCCTAATGGCTCAGTCCTGAGTTGTTTTCCTCAGTTTTTCCTGCCAAAATGTACGTCAATCCACAAGTCAATCCACCTGTATAGCTCCCTTGTTCCCTTGTCTTACCCCTGTCTGTCAAAGATAGCACACCCTTTCGGTTCTGGAGAGTTCCCTGTCTTTCACCCCTTCCTCGAAGCAGAATTGGGTTGTGAGGTTTGCACCCTCCCCATGTTGGCTTCTACTGGGGAGCCCTTACCCTGCACCCCTGCCCTAATGCCCTCCTATTGCTCAAAGGTTGTGTCCTCCCCGTGTTCCCCCTACCCTTTAAAAGTAGTCCTTTCATCTTCAGATTTGTCACTTGCTCTGCCCCCACTTCGAGATTAAAGCCTTGGAGACTCAGACAAGTGTCCTTCCCTCATTCCTGTGCTTCGGTTTCCCCGTGCTCTGTGTCTCTGCTGTGCTCCCCACCCGCAGCAATCGCCGCCACCCGCAACAGTCTC